GCTTACTGTATAAGCAAATGCTTGACTTTATACCTGGTTCCTTTTTGCATATGGATAATCACAAAACTTCTATTGAACCATCCGCAATGCCTGGAGACAGTCAGGTTGGGCACCCATAGTAGTGACCAGAAGAGGAATGACCACTGGGAGGAGCGCAGAGAGAAGAAACACAATGGTGCATCTACAGCAGCACAACCAGATGCTACCCCAGCTGCAGCAAAGCATGCATCTCCTGTATTGGTCTCTACAACCACAGTGGGCACTGCAACCTTCCAACAGTTTGACTTCACCCCCCGCCCCGCAAGGTGCACTCCTCCATTGTCTCCCAAGACATAGACGGGTGCCAACAACAACTGAGAACAAAGCACCATTCTGAAAGGCACGGTCTCCTCTTATCGCCATGTCATCATCAGCCACTGACATTAGCAAAGGGTTAGGAACCCCCTGCCTGGGGTCTGCACACACAACTCTGCTAATACAGTGGTACCTTGGGTTACATACACTTCAGGTTACATACGCTTCAGGTTACAGACTCCGTTAACCCAGAAATAGTACCTCGGGTTAAGAACTTTGCTTCAGGATGAGAACAGAAATCGTGCAGCAGCGGCACAGCGGCAGCAGGAGGCCCCATTAGCTAAAGTGGTGCTTCAGGTTAAGAACAGTTTCAGGTTAAGAACAGATCTCCAGAACAAATTAAGTTCTTAACCCGAGGTACCACTGTAAGCCTGAGCTTTTATTCAGTTTGGGGTGTGCAAATACTTTCCCACTGCACTGGCAATCTCCTGAGAGGCAGGGGTAGTCACAAACACACACGACACAGAGCTGGTAAACACCTTTGAACACTGATACTTTTTCTGTCTTTAATTCAGGCTTGTAAATAGTCACTTGCCTGGTTGCCTGCAGCAAGAAAAAAATCTCCCCTAGGCGACAGAGTAGGTAAGCTATTGCCAGTCAGAAGAGGAAAGTGGGCTTGCTTTTATTTGGTAGCTCACTGAGTGTTCACTAGCAACAAGGAACCAGACCACATGCTGAATGAACTAGAAGTGTGAATCATTCTTTATGCAGAAGCTTAGAAGAGCAATGTGTGATGTTCTGGCACCACCAAGAGACAACTGAACTTTACTACTACATAAGATGCATTTCTTACATAGTGCTGTTAAGTCTACCTGGCTCTTTACACAGTGGCAAAAGCAAGAAAGAGGCAAAAAGCCATCCCTGCCCTGAAGAACATCTGACCTATATTGAAATCCCACTGCAGGGCTGGGAGGGAATTGGGAACCATGAGAGGGAGAGAGGGAGGGAGGATGAAGTAAGAAGGGATAATGTGGACAGGCAGCAATAAACAAATAAAATGGATCACAGACAATAGACAATGGTTTTTTTTTAATCTGTTACTGCATAACCTTACATAGTGTTTGTACAACAACCTTGTAAACATAAGCCAGTATTATTACCCTTATAATACAGTTGAGAGGCTAAAGCTGAGTACTTTGTCTAAAGAGCACAGTGTGGACTTGATAATTTTAGTTGATCTCATCTTAAGTGACAAACTACATCGGCTCAGCAAAGGCAAGGACGGTTCCTTTCACTCAAAGAATTTTAAGAGAAAGAAGCAAAGGCAAAACTGGTTTCTAACCTGAACTTCATTGCACACTCAAAATGCTCTCCAGCACCACCAAATCACAAAACCACAGGACCATAGGGTATTTCTAAGCTACACATATGTAGAGCACTTTAAATGGCAAGGCTTTTGTCAAATTACCATGGAACAGCTGAAAATAAGACCCATGCCCCCAGACCCGCTCACAGAACCAAGATTCCCTGGAGAAAAGGAAATTGCCACTAAATGAGTTGAAGTAGCCTGTTCAATAGCTGTGGGAGGAGAAGTGACCCTCTCCTCCCAACCTTCCTTCAGACCATGGGGGGAATCCAAGGAAAGGTGGGGGGACAGCTGCCCCCCTAAATTAAGTAAATAAATAAAAATAATTAACAGCTCAGTTTTGTCCCCCTAACATAAAGCCTGCTTCCCCAACATAAATCCTGGCTATGCTTCAAACATTCTCAATCCATGCCACATAGCATGTGGGCCACATACACAGACCATGGCTACAGAATAGTTAGCTGCAGCTGAGTCAAGCAAGAAAGCCAGGTCACAAGACACAAGGGGTTTGGGTGAAATCAACATGAAATTCTAGCCTTTACTTGGTTATGAGCAGAGCAGTTCAGCAGTCAGTGTTGTAAATCTTATGAAATTTAATCCACCTTACCTAGAGGCAATTCTGACACGAGTTTCAGTGCATAATGCATATTCCACCGGCAGATGTCAACAGGATCATCCAAAAGCTGTGCCAGAGCTGGAATGACTCCATTTTCTAGGAAGCCGGTCCTACATTCAGAAAATGTATTGGTAAGAAGTGGTTTGTATAAGCACAATATTAAACTCCCCTATTTGAACCTGGGAAAATATGTTGCAGAACAGAAGAAAATCCCTACTCTAAAACGCTTGCATTAAACTTCAGCAAATACCCACCTGCCAACAGAATGCGTTGCCATAATATAAAGAACCTCTGTTGTTTTTTGTCGCACGGTGCTGTCATCATCTAAAAGCAACATCTTCAAATTATCTAGAAATCCTGAAAGACACATTTTTTTATTATTTTTTTGCACCACCCTTCAACAGACATCTAGGACAAAGTTATAATACATTCATTAAACCACAATAGAAAAAAGAACATAGAAGGCAGTGGTAGAATTAAAAACAGCCACCAAGTAGCATGAAAGCAGTTGTCTCTGAAACTCATGAGAGATGACTATATATTGATTATTTGGAGTGCCCAATGGGCAAATAATATTCACAACACGTGTATGGTTCTGCTCTTTTATTTCTGTTTTTGTTCTATTAGCTATTGTTATTTTGATCTTTGTAACAATGATGAAGATATATTAATTGAAACTGTTTAAAAAATATTTGCAACCTTTATAGGGATGATCTCCAGGTGAAGGAAGTTTGGACACACACATTTTCCTTAACCGTGTGCAAAATAAATAATGAAGTGGGTTGCCTGCTCATGTGCTCTGGAACAGTTTCCTGGGATGCCTTCTGGAATACTTTGGTATCTACTATCATTACAATGTCTTTTAGGTCCTATGATTTATGTACCGTAAGCTCTCCTTTTCAGCTCTAAAGGTTTTTCAAAAGAGCATTAAACATTGCTTTGCTGGATCTGACCAAAGTCCAATGTAGCACTTCCCGCAGTGGGTGGGATCTGCCATCTGGTACTGCTAGAAACAGACTGCCTCTAAATTTGGACATCCTGTGCATTAATTGCACTTTCCATGTGTTCATCCTGAACCTACTTTTTGCAGCAGTATGGTACACATACATACTAGCACAAAGAATGCAAAGACAAATAACATCTTGCTGGTATTTACCCACAGTAGGATGTCTCTGTAGCTTTGTGATATCCTACTGGAAATGTAGGTATTCTCAACTCGGTCCCTTGTTCCATCAACTGAATTAAATAAGGGGCAGGCAAACACCCACCCTTGCAAATAAATAAATGATCCAACCCCAAACAACTGCCGCACCTTTTTCCTTTTCAAGAAAACCATTTTATGGCCTGATCTGAATGACTACTAAACCAAAGTTTGGAAAGATCCAGCAGTTTGCTGACCAACCACAGTGCACTGTGACAATGTGCTGCTAGCTTTGCGGTAGGGCAGGTGGTCCCCAGCATGTGACTGCAGAGGTCTGTCCTGCCGCCCACAGGTTCTGCCCCCTCCACATTGCTGCCTTTCACCCTTCTGAAAGTAGGCATGGGAGTAGCATTCTACCTACTATTGCCAATAAAATAGGCTAAAGTGTGGGCTTGGATGTATGGCAATTTATCCAGTCTGCAAATGTACCCATAGACCCAAAGAGATTGGTGATCAAGCCTGTATGTTAGGGCCATTGTGTCACCCCTCCCCACTTCCACAGGAGCATGTATCATGAACTGCCCTGTGGGAGGGAAGGAGGCAGATGAAGAAGCCACCCAGGCCTGCTATAGTTTGACTATCCCACCATTCTGACCTCTAATAGGGCCATTTTTATCACCCATTACACTGGGGGAAGGATCCTGATGGCTTTGTATATGTTGACATTGTGGATTGTTTATCCCACCCCCCCAAAAGTTGAATGTTACCGGTATTTGTACTCCACCTTGGAAGGACTTGTATCCTGAAAGGTAGGATATAGATAAGAGTAAAAGGTAAAGGAACCCCTGACCATTAGGTCCAGTCGTGGACAACTCTGGGGTTGCGGCGCTCATCTCGCTTTATTGGCCGAGGGAGCCGGCGTACAGCTTCCGGGTCATGTGGCCAGCATGACTAAGCCACTTCTGGAGAACCAGAGCAGCACATGGAAACGCCGTTTACCTTCCTGCCAGAGTGGTACCTATTTATCTACTTGCACTTTGATGTGCTTTCGAACTGCTAGCTGGGCAGGAGCAGGGACCAAGCAACAGGAGCTCACCCCGTCAGGGGGATTCGAACCACTGACCTTCTACCAAATAAATAGCAACAAGGTGCAATCAGTAGAGCGTGAGGCTTTGGATCTCAAGGTTGTGGGTTCGAGCTCCATATTGGGCAAAAGATTCCTGCATTGCAGGGGGTTTGACTAGATGACCCTGGTGGTTCCTTTCAACTCTATGATTCTATAATTCTCATGTTCAGTCCACCAGGGAGGCAAAAGTGGCATCTCTTACCGAGTCTAATGGCTTCGTAGACATTCTCTGGGTCATGCACCAAATCACAGAGGGCCATCAGTGCCCGCTGCCGGGTCAGCAGGTCAGGGTCTTCCAGCTCCTCGTTCAGTTTTGGGAGACCCCTTCGGCCATAGGCAATGGGGGCTTTCGTGGGGTCGATATCAGGGGGCAGTTTGGAGGAGATACGGGGCAGGAGCGCCATCTCAAGTTCCTTCTGTACCACAGCAGCCCTAAGAAAGGAAAGGGGGAAAAGCTGCTTAGGGCAAAGGGAGGGAAAACAAGAGCAGCAGTTCTATGTGTCTTTGCTTCAGTTCCAAGACACAGGCACCAACAGGACACGTGTCTTTTTTTGGAGCGGGGTGGAGGACACCTGTTGCAACTGAAAGCAAGACAGGATTTTAAAGGTAAGCATCTATCCTTCTCCCCTCCAACCCCCACCCGCGATTCAATAGAAACAAACAACAAGAATATTAACCCTGAAAGAGAAGCACGAATGAAAAACGTGGGAATTCATGTTTAATTTTTATAAAAACAATAATAATTTAACATCGAAATGAACGATAGTAACTGGGGAAAATATATTACTTGGTGCACACACGCCAAATAGAAATAGCAAAGGGGAAACCCGATAAACCCAGTTTAGCAAAATGGGGAGAAATGTCAGCTCCGAAAGCGGCCGATTCGCCGCCCTGCCTAGGCCTCTGGTTGCTAAGCGACCGCGACGCCCTCGCTCCCTACGTCCAGATCTGTGAATACGAAGCTACGCACGCGGGAAAAAACCCTCTACGAGGTGTTGCCGGAGTCCGACTGAGCGCAAATGTCGTAATTCCCGCAAGTGGCGGCTGGGCACGATGTGTCGTGGTGGGGAGGCCAGGCGAGAGAGAGAGAGAGAGAGAGAGAGAGAGAGAGAGAGAGAGAGAGAGATGGTGGCCCTCAAATGCCAGCCTCTGCAGCCCGCGCTGCCCCTGCGGGAAACCCAGACAGCTTCCTCCCAACTGGCGCTTACCAGATTATTTGGACTACAATTCCCATCAGCCCCAGCAAGCACTGCGGTGGTCTCACCCGCCCTGTGCTCGCTGAGGCTGATGGGAGTTGTAGTCCAAAGACCTGCAGGGCGCCAGGTTGGGGAAATGCAGAACGCTCTTAATTGGTTGCGTTGGGTTGCCTCTATTGTTTCTTCCAAGTTGCTCAGGGTGGTGTACATGGTGCTCCTTGTTTTGTTTCCAATGAAATACGGATGTTGCAAACATTTGTCCGGATATAAACCAGAGCCACTGTGGTGTAACAGGGTTTGGGGCGAAGACCTAGGAGAGATCAGGGTTCGAATCCCCCACTCTGCCATGAAACTCACTGGCTAACCCTGGGCGCCAGTCACCGTCTCTCAGCCTTAACCTACCTCACAGGGTTGTTGTGAGGATGAAATGGGAAGTTGGACAACCATGTAAACCTCCTTGAGCTCCCTGGATGAAAAGCTGGGTTATAAATGGAAGGAATAAAAACAACAGTATTTTTAATAATGCTGGTGATTCAGTTCTTTTTCTTTTTCCTTTATTAAAGCTGTCCAGCTTTATACAAGCAGCAGGAGGCGTTGCTCAGCTGAGCATGTCAACATCTGGCATTCATTAACCAGGTTTTCTTCCTTATTCTGAGTGGTTTTTAAGGTCTGCCAGATCTCTCAGGTGGTTGGTTTCTCTGCATTTTAACTCCACCTTCTGAGAGGGAGGCGCTCTGGTTCCTATGGTGATGCGGCAGCCCCTTTCCAGACCTGGAAACAGCTCTTGCATGGTGAGTCGTTTTTCCTCTCACTCTTTCCCCATATTGCCCCTTTTTTGTAAATGCTGAGGGGGAGGGCAGGGGAAAGCCCCTGGTCTGCTGGGGTGGTGGTGGTGGGGAATAGGATCAGCCCCCACCGCCTTGCTTTTTTGCAAATTACCCAAAGGCCAGCTTAGAGCAAGTGATTCTGCAAGCTGTTCATGGCAACCTTGCAGCTTCAGACTGGCTGAACTAGGGTGATTTCCCTCCCTACCATCCACATAAGGCTTAATTGGTTCCCCCTCCTCTTTTACCTGTTTGTAACAGAAATGCAAAACCCACATAGAGGAGATTGTACAGCAGTTTTCTCCACCATGCTCTTTCTAGAATTCACAAACAAATCGCCACACCTGGAAAAGAAAGCATGAGAGAGAGAGAGAGAGAGAGAGAGACTTACAGGTGCATTTTTACAGTGGCTGGCCACTTTCGGGGCCAGAGATCCAAATGGTCCTACACAACCACAACCACACACCCCATGCCGCCTTTGCCAACTTGGTGCCCTCCAAGTGTTTTATTTATTTGGTTTTTTTTATGCCACACCATATAAAGGTAAAAAAGGTAAACGACCCCTGGACAGTTAAGTCCAGTCAAACTTCGTTATGGGGTACGGCACTCATCTCATTTCAGGCTGAGGGAGCTGGCGTTTGTCCGCAGATAGCTTTCTGGGTCACGTGGCCAGCATGACTAAACCACTTCTTTTTTTGGTTTTTTCTTTTCTTTTAACAAAGTAATAATATTAAATAAATAAATAAAACTAAAAATGTGCACCCCACCCCCAAGACCATTCCATTGTAACTATCCAACCTCCCAAAATTTCAACACCTCTTGCGATGGTTTGACCCCTTTCCGTTTTAACAGTACAACTTCTACAAATACCTTCCACATCTCCTTAAAATAATTTCTCCTGCATATTCCTCGTCTTACCTTAATAGCACATGTTAATTTATCATTAATTGTCCCACACCTCTTTATACCATTCTTCCATTTTATATTCACCTTGTCCCTTCCACTTCCTAGCTATAATAGCTGTCAATAAATTTGTGAACAAGTCTTTCATAGCATGCGAACCTCCCACCCCATTGTAAATTGCTAATAATTCTACCTCTGGACCCAGTGATTTCTGTTATCTCCTTTAACACCCTTTGGCAAAAAATGTGTACATATTTACATCCTGACCACATGTGAACATAAGTCCCAGGACTAAACCGCTTCTGGGGACACCGTGACGAGTGCCAGAGCGCACGGAAACACTGGTTTGGTTGGCAGGAGCTTCAAGTGAGGCGTGTGTCCCACTGCTACCTAGAGATGCCATTGGGGATAGAACCTGGGACCTTCTGCATGCAAAGCACATGTTCTACCACTGAGCTACGAAGCCTTCCCCATATTCATAGAATCATAGAACAATAGAGCTGCAAGGGACCATGAGGGTCATCACGTCCAACCCCTTGCAATGCAGGAATCTATTGCCCAGCATGGGGCACGAACCCACGACCTTGAGATTAAGAGTCTTGTGCTCTACCAACTGAGCTATTCAGCTCCCCTCATCCACAAACCTTGGTCATGCTGGCTGGGGCTGATGGGAGTTGGGAGTCCATCAACATCTGGAGAGCCATGAATGTTCCCCAGCCCTGGTGTATGGCTTTTCCTGAGGAATACCAAGTGAGAGCCATTAGGCCCTGACACTCGGTTCCCTCCAACATGGTGCCCTTCAGATGCTTTGGAAAAACAACTCCTGTAGGCTGGAGAAGACTTCTCTTCTCCTTTGCAAAACAAAGCTGTTCCGGAAAAGACTTTTGGCTGAATGCTCTTGGGTTAGTTTTGGTGTCATGCCGCTATGCCCAGACTTCATTCCTGGTGTTGGTTTCTAATCCTGATATTTTACGGCTGCTGGTGGGGTTGTTGTTTTTTAGGAATGGTGGGCATGACATAGGCTTTTAAATATTGTATGGCATTTCCTGCTTTGTTAGCCTCCTAAGTTCATTTTGGAAATCAGATGGATCATGAGTTTTAAATTAACATTATGACAGATGGGGGACTTGCATAATGATGGACAGGACCATTGCGGTTTGCTAACTGAAGTTGTTTTCCAGCTGAGCCTCTGGAGTGGCACGAGGCGGCCGGGGAGACGGTTAAAGTGAGTTAAAATATAATCCAAATGGATAAAGGCATGTTCACTGTGAAATGAGGCCCTCGCAAAGGGAGTCACCCTGTGCCCTCTTTCTGGGCTATTGTAAGCTCAGAATGCCACTCACCTCTACTATGGCAACATCCTGGCGATATCCTTTATCCATGAAAGGCCTTGCTGTTTTATTATTCAGGAAAATGCCAGGCTCACCAGCCAACAGGCTGCTAACTTCCTTAGCTTGCAGTCAAACATGGAACTACTAGTCAGGGAAAACAGACACTCCCACAAGTTTTTAGTACAGTCCAGACTGGGAAATTACAGAATTGGACAAATTCATGGGGGACGAGGCTATCCTTGGCTACCAGCCATGATGGCTCTGCTCTGCCTCAGAGGCAATAAACGTACCCAGTTCTAGGAATACCTTACAAAAAAACATCAACCAACTACTTTTGTCAGGACTGCAAAAACGCAAGCGTTAAGTGTTGTGTTTCGCTGTTGGCAAGTCCCCTGATATGACCCCGATATTGTTTTCTGGTTTGTATTGTCATTTTCTTTAAAAAAAAATGCTTTTAATTAAGTTTTAATTTCAAATACACCAACACCAACAAGATACACCAATATTTCAAATCTTTTAACATCTGTCTTACTTTACGCTCCGTAGAGCAGTTGACTTCCCTCCTTCCCTTCCGCAGGTTTTCTTATTCCAATCACTAATCCACAGTTCCTTAATAATAACTAAACCATGACATAAGATTTATTTCAGTCCTGCTAACGTCTTCAAATTTCTACAGTTCTCACTTATATAGACCATAAATTTACTCCATTCGTTTTGGTACTTTGTTTCCTCATGACTACGAATCCTATGGGTCAGTTTTGCTAATTCCGCGTACTCGGCCAACTTTGTCTGCCACTCCTTCACAGTTGGTATCTCCTGTGTTTTCCATTTTTGGGCTATCAAAACTCTGGCAGCTGTCGTAGCATACATATATAATCTTTGGTCCATCTTCTTAATATCCTCTCCTATCAAACCTAGCAGTAGTTCTTCAGGCTTTTTTGGGAAGGTCTATTTAAGCATCTTTTTCAACTCATTATAGATCAATTCCCAAAACTCTTTCATTTTATCACATGTCCACCACATGTGGTAAAAATCACCATCCTTTTCTTTACATTTCCAACAGATTTTACTACTCGTCCTATACATTTTTCCTGGTTTGACAGGTGTGTTTTTTTAAAAATGATATTTATTAAAGTTTGACAATTACAAAAAAAGAAAAAAAGACAATAAAAAGTTACAATACTTCAAAAATAAAAAAATAAAAAACACAATAAAAAACCATACAACAAAGCAATGAGAAAAACAAATGAGAAAAACATTTAAAAGACAAGAACATTTAAAAACACATCTAGTATTTCCATATCTTTATCTTTCATTTACTTGTTTCATCGACCTCCTCACACCTCCCTTTTTTGTATTCTGATTCAATTAACTGTTTCAGCAAATCCTTTCCATCTTTCTCAGATTTTGTTCTAAAATTTGTCTTAACACAATTTGACCTTAAATTTTACACTTTGACCCATTAACAATCCCTTTTTTACTTAGTTCTGTATAACCTTTCTGCTAAAACCATGTAACTTCATTCCAGCATCCTTCTAACATTCATTAATTTTACAATATTTCTGAAAATATCCTTTAAATGTTTTCCAATCATCTTCCACCAACTCTTCTCCCTGGTCTCGGATTCTGCCAGTCATTCTGGTTTGACAGGTGTTAGATACCAGCGATAGTTTTCTGGTTTGTATTGTCAGCACCCGCTTGATTTGGGCAATGAAGGCCAACTTCCTGCATGTGACGCCACCTGTGAGCAGAGACAGAACCATCTCCCACTTCCCCAAGGTAGGCAAACTGTCCTCCTCTGTCCACTGGGCTTGTTCCCTGACAACCTGAGGCAGTGATTTTCAACCAGTGTGCCTTGGCACCCTGGCGTGCCTTGAATGATGGTCAGGGAAGCCACGGGCAACACCAGCCTCTGACCCTCTTTCCTTCCCTCCCTCCCCTGATGCCCTCTCGCGTTTCTGCCTCCCAAAGGCTTGCTGTGCTGTTTGTTACAGGAGCAGCCCTGGCTACAAGCTCCCCAGGCAAATAGTGCCTTTGGGGCTGGCCCGGGGGGGTGCCCTGTGGGGCAGTGTGAGGAAGCACCTCTTTTTTGTGTGTGGGGGGGGAGCTCAGAGACCAGGGGCAGCACCAGTGGCTGCCCAGAGGACTCCTAAAGAGAGGGGAGAGGAGAGGAGAGGAGGCTGAGGGAACGGAAGATGTTTGAAAAGCCGGAGGTGCCGGCTCTGCAGGCAAGGGGTGATGTAAGTGGGCTCCTGAGCCTCTCAGGGGTGCCGTGGAAAGAATGTAGTTGGTCAAGGAAGCCATGAACCTGAAAAGGATGAAACCCTCTGGCCTGAGGCATTCCCTAAAACAGAGCCTGTCATACATTTTGCCTTGGGCCTGGCAAAGCTGTCCTAGAGGACTGGCTAGGTGAAGTCCTGGCCCAGCTGATCTCATGCTCCTGCTTCCTGTGTCTGCAGTGGTACACACCTGAGGCCTGCCTCCAGCTCAAAGATCACTTCCACGCCCAGGTGAGGAGTGCCTGTCGGAGACAGAACACAGGCGCTGTTGGGTGAGTCGGCATCAAGGAGAAATGACGCTTTCTGCTGTAACAAGAGTTTCGGTCACAGGCAATGTTTCCTTATGTATTTTGGAACTGACCTGTAATCTTAAGAATATACGTTTTGCAATGTTTCAGAATTGCTGGGGTGTCAAATGCCTATATAACCTTAAAATCTAAAAAAATGATACCTGTTGACAATTTAGAAGGAACATTGCAGCACAAATAAGATCGCAAGAGGATGAAGAAAGGTTCACACACACGCTTATTTCAGGGATCTGGGGTATTGTCTAGTTTATTCAGATTATGGTAGAAGAATTATTATTTAAGCATTTTTTGTGTTTTACTCTGCACTATTTGTATCTCATATACTGTATGTGTTCTTTGTAATGTTTTTTATTGGTCCGAATAGAAGTATTAATCTGATATGGTTCTTCCATTTCAATGAGACTGTGCAATGTGAAAAAAACCAACATGTGTGTTTCAGGCTAAAAATATCAAAAGTCGTTGTGGTGGGAGACCTCTATGTTGGGAAAACAAGCCTCATCAACAGGTACAAATCTGTTTTGACACGTAGTTTTAGTGGTGTTTGTCAAAGACTGTCCAAAGTTCCAGCCTCAAAGTGCAGCCACTGACCTCAGTTTATAAGTCTTTCTGGCTGACCTGTTTGCATCGTAGCTACCACCTGCCTGAAGCAGTGCTTGCGAAGCACTCCTTAAGGATAGTACCAAGAAGAGGAGACACCCCAGGTTACAGTTATGTGTCTCCTCCTGACCCATGCCTACGAACACAGCTGCCAGTCTCTGTTTTTGAGTTCCTCCTGCTCAGAACTTGGAAAGGCTCTTAGATGCGTGTTTAACCACACAGCTTCCGCTCACATACAGTGGTGCCTCGCAAGACGAAAAGAATCCGTTCCGCGATTCTCTTCGTCTAGCGGTTTTTTCATCTTGCGAAGCAACCCCATTAGCGGCTAAGCAGATTAGCGCTATTAGCGGCTTAGCGGCTATTAAAGGCTTAGTGGCTGAGCTGCTAAAAGGCGCTTAGCGGCTTAGAAAAGGGGGGGGAAAGCGGGGGGGAACGGCGAGACTCGCAAGACATTTTCGTCTTGCGAAGCAAGCCCATAGGGAAATTCATCTTGCGAAGCACCTCCAAAACGGAAAACCCTTTCGTCTAGCGGGTTTTCCGTCTTGCGAGGCATTCGTCTTGCGGGGCACCACTGTACAATGGTTACTAGGGTTTTCTCAGAGAGTTTATTTAGTACAAGAGAGCGGGCCTTTTCTGTGGTGGCTCCCCAATTGTGGGATGCTCTTCCCAGAGAGGCTCACCTGGCGCCATCATTACATGTCTTTAGGCGCCAGGCAAAAACATTCCTCTTTACCCAGGCCTAGGGCTATCAAAAAATCTATGGCCTGTGAAAGTGTGGGGGAGAGGACTGTTATTACGATGACTATTTTATTATCTGGCTGATAGTATGCTTTTTATTATGTTTTTATCCTTGATGTTCTGTAATGTGTTTTTAATGTTGTTCACCACCCTGGGATCTAAGGGTGGTATATAAATTGAATAAATAATAATAGTGGAATATTTCTTAAATACTACTACTATGTGAAAACTTTTGATTTAAGGCAGAGGTAGCCAACATGTCTTCTTCCCTCACCTTTTTTCCATTGCTCTTTCTTTCAAACATCCTCTTGTCAGCATTCCCACACCCTTATTTATTTTATTTCCTGCCCTTCACCTTAAGGTCCCAGAGCAGGTTACAGAATTAAAGCACAATATTAAAAACCATCAAAAGCAGCCAATAATAATAGCAATAATAATAATAATAACAATAACAATAACAATAAGGTGGGTACTCCCCATTTTTCCCTTGCAGGTTTTGTAAAGATGTTTTTGACCGGGATTACAAGGCAACCATCGGAGTGGATTTTGAAATTGAGCGTTTTGAGATAGCTGGAGTTCCATACAATCTTCAGATGTAAGTTGGAAATGAACACGCGGCTCACCATACGTGTGGGATGTTTTAACAGAGCCAGCCAGAATCAAAGAAACATAGAACCATAGAGCTGGAAGGAACACAAAGGGTCATCTAGATCAACCGCCTGCAATGCAGAAATCTCAGCTATGGCATCCATGACAGATGCCCATTCAACCTCTGTTTTAAAAACTCCAGCGAAGTTTTTAAAGTCCATTCCACTGTTGAACAGCTTTCATTCAGGGGACCAATAATGGCCGAGCAGCCATTATTCATTTTGAGAAACAGGCTTTTTACTAGTTGTAAACCAAGGGGCAGGGGGATCTGTGGGGATCTTTCAGTTGTTGGCTGAGCTCCAACTCCCCCCAGCAGCCAGCAAGGCCAGTGTCCAGGACGGAAGTGTGATTAAAAAGGGAAAAGGGCATCTTCCAGATGACATTGACTCAAGCATCACAGTCTTCTTCAGCTAGTTCTCCTAAGCCATTTGCTTTATCCCTGGGCTCAGGCCCTCTCTCACCATGACTGATCAAACTTCCCTTATTCCACTCTTGCCCAGATGGGATACAGCCGGCCAGGAGAAGTTCAAGTGCATTGCATCCGCCTACTACAGAGGAGCAGAAGGTGAGTCAAAAGCTTTTTGCTTCCTTGCTAGCAGGGCAAAAGCTGACTCCTGGGGGCTGCAGACATTCTCCCATTTACTCTGCCTCCAGGGCACTGCCGCTGCTGGTTTGGGGAGCCGTGTAGACACAACTTCGCCCCAATCCATAGCTATCCTTTCATTTCTGATGAAATACTGCATTTTGAAGCATTCCCCCCCCCAAAAAAAATCTGACTTTGAGGAAGAGAACAACTCAGTTCCATTTTAAGCCAGCGCTGTGTCCCCAGCCTCTTTCCTTCTGGATGTCTGCTGAGTCAGAACTAAAACAACCCCTTTCTCCTGCCTTCTGGACCTAGAATGTCTCCTAATCCTCTCTTGGTTTCGTTGCAGTGATTATAACAGTCTTTGATTTGGCCGACATCCAGACTTTGGATCACACCAAGTAAGTCCTTGCCATTCTTTCTTGCAAAAACTTTCCTGAGGACTGGGGGGGGGGGATTAGACAGGCTTAAGCAGGCTGGGCCTGTCAGTGGGTGTGAGCAGGAAGGAGGAGGATAGGGAGAAAACCAAAATGTGTTGGCTCTGGTTCCACTTCCTGTTCAGTCTCTCTGCCAGTCCCTTCCCACCACCCCTGGCCACAGGTTTCCCACCCTGATAAATAGAGAGGGTTGGTATTGAGGTTTCGCTTGCACTTGCTGAAAGAATGAGGTTCTTATTAGCTCATTGCCTTGTGACACAGAAATCGCTGCTCTTCATGTGAAATTGGTGGCACACAGTTTCCCTGTGAGTTCTCTCTCTCTCTTTCTCTCTCCTTCCTGCTGTCTTGTTTCTGTTTAGCATTTGACATATTCCCTGGAGGTGATTGTATTTCCTTGGTGCTGGCACAATTTATCTGTCCCACGGGGGCCTCCCTGCCCGGCTTCCCTCCAGGGTTTTCCGTCTGCACTTGGTAAAGATGGCTAAGTTGCTCACCCCCTTTAGTGGGCCAGACACGAGGCATTGCTCCAAGGGGACTGGCAGAGGAGGAGATATTATTTTTTCTCAAGAGGGAAGAACATATGGTGTGTGTTCCTCTTTCTCTGGTTTCCATTTCCTCTCCCCTCTGCCCCTTCCTCCTGTTCTCATCATGCTAATCCCCAGTTCCTCTCATTACTGCTTTCCTCCAATGGATCACTTTCTGTACTTTCATATACCACACAATCAGACCCAAGATCAGGGGTTCCGTTTCAGGATGAATGAAATCGGCCAACATGTGGCTGGTGGACAATGGAGCGTGTGTCAGTGAGTTTGCTCAGGGTGGGGGAATTGTGCAGGAGACGGGGTTGGCCTTCCCCCAACTGTATCTCCTTCACATGTTTTGGACTACAACTCCCATCAGCCTCAGCCAGCACAGCCAAGGGTCTGATGGGAGTTGTAGTCCAAAGGCCGACCTAGGCTCTTGCTCACCTGTTTATGAGAGCCAGTGTGGTGTAGTGGTTAAGAGCGGTAGTCTCATAATCTGGGGAACCGGGTTCACGTCTCTGCTCCTCCACGTGCAGCTGCTGGGTGACCTTGGGCCAGTCACACTTCTTTGAAGTCTCTCAGCCCCACACACCCCACAGAGTGTTTGTTGTTGGGGAGGAAGGGAAAGGAGAATGTTAGCCGCTTTGAGACTCCTTCGGGTAGTGATAAAGCCGGATATCAAATCCAAACTCCTCTTCTTCTTCTTCTTCTTCTTCTTCTTCTTCTTCTTCAAAGACCAATCCTAACACGGAGAACAATATCAGGTGGTCAGTTACGAGCAAGCATTTCCCACTTGAGAAATGCCTGATAAATCCTTATATCTAGCATGTCACTATCATAAGTTGCTTATTTATTCATCTTTTCAGCTCTGAAAAGTATTAATACTGCCATGTGCAGTTGGCCCAAACTACTGCTGATGAGAGCAGAACTTTGTGGGGCTCCCCGTTCTATCAACATTGCATTTCTTCCTCTTCTAGGAGGCTTCCTGTGCACCATTCCTTTAAAACACATTTGGTGGCGCTGTGGGTAAAACCTCAGTGCCTAGGACTTGCTGATCGTAAGGTCGGCGGTTCGAATCCCCGCGGCGGGGTGAGCTCCCGTCATTCGGTCCCAGCTCCTGCCCACATAGCGGTTCGAAAGCACCCCTAAGTGCAAGTAGATAAATAGGGATCGCTTTATAGCGGGAAGGTAAATGGCGTTTCCCTGTGCGGCACTGGTGCCGGCTCGCCAGTGCAGCTTCGTCACGCTGGCCACGTGACCCGGAAGTGTCTTCGGACGGCGACGGCTCCTGGCCTCTTGAGTGAGATGAGTGCACAACCCTAGAGTCGGTCACGACTGGCCCGTACGGGCAGGGGTACCTTTACCTTTTTAATGCCCATTCTCCTTCTTTGCAAAATTCTGGAAACTGTAGTTTGTTTAAGGCAGTGATGGCCAAACTTGGCCCTCCAGCGGTTTTTGGACTACAACTCCCATCATCCCTAGATAACAGGACCAGTCGTCAGGGATGATGGGAATTGTAGTCCCAAAACAGCTGGAGGGCCAAGTTTGGCCATCACTGGTTTAAGAGTACTGTGAATAGTAGCCCTGTGATGGTTCCCAGGATTCTGTTTGAGTTTTGTGTGCTTTAAATGTATGCAGCCCCCATTCCCTCCAGAACTCTCCACACTGGGCTGATCCCTTGTCATTTTTCACCCTACGCAAACTACCTGCATCATATCATTTATACCCTACCCATCTGGCTGTGTTGCCACAGCCACATCTGGGCAGCTTCCAGTACATATAAAAGCATAATAAAACATCAAACATTAAAGGCATTTACATGAAACTCAGCCATCTTGTGCATTCTAAATCCTTCAGACATTTCCTCTGTCCTCCTCTTCCTCCTCCTCCTTTTTCAGGCAGTGGCTGGAGGATGCATTGAGGGAGAATGAACCAGGCTCCAGCTTCGTCTTTCTCGTTGGAACAAAAAAAGATTTAGTGGTAAGTGCATGGCAGCTCGCAAAATAAATGCTGCAGCTGCTCTACTCGGAACCTTGAGCGGTATTACGGAACTGCAGTTTCCATGCACAATTTATGTGTCCCGTCTGGATGGTAACTGTGTGATGATGGCTGGTTGCCGGGAGCTCAACTTGCCCTAACAGCAGGGCTAGAAGAAGTTCTAGCCATCAGTAACTGCAGCGGAACTGCAACCAATAACCACAACTGGGGGAAACAGAATGTGTGGGTGCACAACAGTGACCTGTATCAGAACATCTGGCCTGCAATATGAAGCCTCCAGTTGGGAGCACTTGGGACAAGCCTGGCTGACAAATGCAGGACACATAGATAAAAGGGGCCTGAAGCAGAGAGAGGGACAATGTCCTTTGTGTGCAGAAGCTGGAGCAAGGGGTCTCTGTGGTCTGTGGTTCCTTCCATAGCCAAGACCCGACAAGGATTCAGAATTCACTTTTCTTGCTGTTGAGTTGAGTTCTTCTTCTTCTTCTTCTTCTTCTTCTTCATCATCATCATCATCATCCTGAGCAGCCTCTAGCACAAACACTTTCCTGGTGTCTTTTCAAACCATTTCTGCTCATCAGCTCCTTGCCCTGCTGAAGCAGGGGAAATGTGCCCCCAAAGGATTATGCACTTGTCAGTTCTGGACAGATTTCTTTGGTAAGGCAGCGGGAGGAAAATGCAGGTTTAAAACTCAGAAGAGACCAGCAGCCTATCTAGGCTGACAACAGATGCTTAAAGGCAGCTTCTCCCCTTTACTGTAATAGCTGTACATGGGATGGATACAAGTTCTTTTTTATAATAAAGGTTTTTATCAATGTTAAGTCAAAAGTTAAAGTAAACAAACAAGAAAAAAAATAAAGTTATAAAACGTAGGAGGAGGACAGAATTTGTATTTTCCAAATAACAGAGAGCAGATACCGTAGGAAAATTCAATCAGCAGAACACCACCATAAATGCTATTTTTTTCTTTTGGGGTTCAAATAATAATTAAAAATAGTATTTTTTTTATATACCCTGCCCTCCCCGGCCACAATCAGGCTCAGGGTGGTTAACACTAATAAAATTACAATAAAACATAATAGAAAAAGAAAAAACAGTTAATTAAAATACGGGTTCAACTGTAAGGGCAGGTTCATGTGTTACATTTTCCATACACTGTGAAATAAGAATATAATAATTGCCCAGGTAGAAGGAAGCAAAATTTTCTTGTGCTGAACAGGTTCTTATCTTATGTATCCAACCACGTATGGTCAGATGCTTTTTAGTGCCAGCAGGCAGAGCTTAAAAGGTGGCACAGTCTTCTACAGCTTCTGTTTGGCAGACTAATTCTTCAATGCATTGGTCTAATTCAGCCTTTGCCAACCTGGTGCCCTCCAGATGTTTTGGACGGCAGCTTCCATCATAGCCCACATAGCTGGACGATGCTGGGGCTGGTGGGAGTTGCCAACCGAAACATCTGGAGGGCATCTGGTTAGAGAGAGAGATGGGGGCAGGAATCCAATGTGGTTCACTTCTAAATGCAAATCTCATCTCAGTCACACTTCCTTTTTTAAAAAAAATGAAGGAAAACTTAGCTTTTATCTTTAGAAATTTGCCCTTCTCTCCAAATGTTCCTATACAGTTCACCAGCCCCCAAAAGTGTATAAAAAGGCATAGTGGAAATGACTTGCAAGCATCTGTGTTTATCAAGCGAAACTGTATACAGGGAAAATGTGCCCTAAAACACTTTTTGCAAGGACCTGCTTTTTGGGGGGAGCAAACTAATGTGGAAATGCAGCAAACTGAATTGGGTGGGGCATGGGGAGCTGAAAAGGTGAGAGAAGTTGGGATTGACAGACTTGCCCATCCCTAGTTGGGAAAAGCTGGTCTAATCTCTTTCCAAAGCCAACTCATGGCCACATTTTGCAGAAGCAAATCCCTCTCTGTTCTTAAGAAGGAAAAATGGCTGTTAGGTAGGTCATACAGTGGTACCTCGGGTTACATATGCTTCAGGTTACAGACTCCGCTAACCCAGAAATAGTACCTCGGGTTAAGGACTTTGCTTCAGGATGAGAACAGAAATCGTGCAGGAGGCCCCATTAGCTAACGTGGTGCTTCAGGTTAAGAACTGTTTCAGGTTAAGAACGTACCTCTGGAACGAATTAAGTACTTAAGCCGAGGTACCACTGTATTTATGTTTTGGGGGTGAGGGGGAAGTTTACCCATTTGCAGCGCAACATAGAGATTGCTGTTCCTTGGCTGTGGTTCCTTTCTTTTTCAGTCTGACGCTGCCTGTGAGCGGACAGAACAGGACGCCATCCACCTGGCCAATGAAATGCAGGCAGAATATTGGTCCGTTTCAGCCAAGACAGGTGAGTTGAGCCCATTGAAGTGTTTGGGAGTGCCAGTGCTGCAGGGCTGACGGGGTGGGCATGCCAGCTGGTCTCCTTCAAGGAGTTAAGCTGCCAGCTTGCCCAGGGACTTACCGTATTTTTCGCTCTATAGGACGCACCTTTTCCCCTCCCAAAATTGAGGGGAAATGTGTGTGCGTCCTATGGAGCAAACGCAGGCTCCTTGGCTTCAGCGAAAGCAACGCTAAGCCTCCGAAGCGCAGAGGGAGCACTCCCTCCGTGCTCCAAAGGCTTCACGTTGCTTTCGCTGAAGCCTAGAGAGTGAGAGTCGTCGGTGCGCACCGACCCCTCTCGCTCTCCAGGCTTCAGGGATAGCCGCGCGCAGCCACTCCAGCAGGGAGAGGCTGCGGCTTCTTTAGCCCCGCGCAGCCTCTCCCAGCAGGGAGAGGTTGTGTGGGGCTAAAGAGGAAGCCAAAACAGCTAGCGGGATCCATCCCGCTGGCTGCCTTGGCTTGTGCCATAGCCGCGCGCAACCCCTCCGGCAGGGAGAGGTTGCGCACATCCTGTATGCTGCTCTTTGGGGCTGGGGGGGGAAATAATTTTTTTTCTTGATTTCCCCCCCTAAAAACTGGGTGCGCCCTATGGTCCGGTGCACCCTATGGAGCGAAAAATACGGTATGTGGGACAGTGTCTTTCATAGTGGTGCTCTGCTTGGGTGCAGAGTTTGATCCTTGTGAAATGCACCCTTCTGCTCTGGAACTCCACACGGGCTCATGCCAAGATGCCAAAGGTAGTCCCTTGAACGCCCCCCCATTTTTGGGAGGGGGTGGGTAGGGATGTTGGAAGAGACAGGAGCCATTCTTTGTTTATAGCAGCTGCCTATAGTACCACCCTGTGTTTAAAACGGGAGTGGCTAACCCATGACCCTGTGGATTTTGATGGACTACAACTCCCATCATCCCCAGCCAGCAGAGTTAACTACAACTGCTGCAGTTCGAGAGCCACAGGTTAGCCATGCACACTTTAAAACAGTGTTTCCCAAACTTGGGCCTCCAGCTGGTTTTGGACTACAACTCCCATCATCCTTAGCTAGCAAGACCAGTGGTCAGGGATGATGGGAATTGTAGTCCCAAAACAGCTGGAGACCCAAGTTTGGGAAACACTGCTTTAAATACTTGAGCCCCTCAAAGGTTACAGCATCCCCTCCACCTCCCCACCTTCTCTTTCTCTCACCAGGGGAAAACGTCAAGGGTTTTTTTTCCCGAGTTGCTGCCTTGGCCTTTGAAAAATCGATGCTGATGGAGCTGGAGAAGAGCAACAGCCGAATGGCCCAAATTGGTGCAGGAAACCTCATCAGTAGGTTGAACTGAATTGTCTTTGTTTGATTAAAACAACAAAACATTTTCAAGGGACGAGGATGGGGGGGGGCAGATAGCTTTTCCTTCTGCTTAAAAAAGTCTTTGCTGATTGGTTGCTCTCCAACCATTTTGGGCTATGACTCCCATCTGCCCCAGAATCGCAGGACCACTTGGAAACTTCAGCAAGCCTGAAAATGCAAAATGACTGACCAGGGTTCCACTTAGGGCTTGCATAATCCGTGTCTTAAAACTAGTTGCACTGGTTTCTGTTCTGTTCCCAGGCCCAATTCAAGATGTTCACATTCATCTTCAAAGTATGAAATATGTTATAGGCGGTCTTTCTGGTATCTGGGGCCCCTTTTCCTACTTCTCTGTGTTCTGTGCTGTAGCACACACACCTTCCCTTGGGTAAGCTGATTCTGTCTTAAGTGGTATATAATCTTCTTATGAATAAATAATAAATATAAATGCATATAGCAGCCCCTCCCCTCCACAGTGACTAGGACTGATAGGACTTGCAGCCCCAAACCTCTGGAGGGCACCAGGTTGGGGAAGGGAGGCCAGTAGGACCCCAGCCTTCATGCCGACAAGCACAGGAAGGTTGCCTACCCATCTAAAGCTAAAGGGACCCCTGACCATTAGGTCCAGTCGTGGCCGACTCTGGGGTTGCGGCGCTCATCTAGCTTTATGGGCCGAGGGAGCCAACGTACAGCTTCCGGGTCATGTGGCCAGCATGACTAAGCCGCTTCTGGTGAACCAGAGCAGCGCACAGAAACGCCGTTTACCTTCCCGCTGGAGCGGTACCTATTTATCTACTTGCACTGGCGTGCTTTTGAAACTGCTAGGTGGGCAGGAGCAGGGACCGAGCAACGGGATCTCACCCCGTTGCGGGGATTCGAACCGCCGACCTTCTGATCGGCAAGCCCTAGGCTCTGTGGTTTAACCCACAGTGCCACCCGTGTCCCTTAGCCTACCCATCTAGCGCCGTGCAAATGTTTATGAAGACTGGGATGAACACAGCTGTTGCCTGTTAACCATTTCTGGAAAGTGATGTTCCGAAAGGATTGATTTGGCCATTTCTTTGTTCCCTTCTTGCAGAAATAGAAGGGGACTCGCCGGAGACTTTGGAAGCCAACCCACAAGCCAGCCCAAGTTGTTGCTAGTAGCCAGCTGTGGGTATAACAAGTTCCTGGCCTGTTGGAGGATTCGCCAAATTGCACTTCAGGGAAGCAGCTGAATATCTGAACAAGCAGCAGCAGCAGGATGAGGAGGGGGGCAGGGAAACAGCGGTGCAGCCCCCCCCCTCCCCGCCAAAGCCCACTTTGCTTTGATCTGCCTTCAGGGGAACGGACAGCCTCTCTCCTCTCTTTGGAAAAATTCTATTTTCTGAGCTCACGTTATGGGAAATGATCTGCCTTTTCCAGGAGGGTGTGTTTGTTATCAGCACAATCTGTCTTTCTCTTTCTCTTTCTCTCTTTCCCTCTCCAGGAAACCCATCCTGTTCCAAACTTGCAAAGCCTGTTTCTGTGGAAACGACAGACCTTGGGAGTGGAGAGCACACGGTGGACCTGCCCTATGAGAGAGGCTGCAGATGTGAAGGAAGCTCAGATTTGGTGTCTCTCTGTGAATTCAGTTAGACCTGGCGCCCTCCAGGTGTTGGGGGCTAAAACTCCTTCTAGCCCAGCTAAGGGAGCAGGTCATTCTTCCCTAGATGCCTTGGACCTCTTGACTGTGGCTGGAGGGAAATGTAGTCCCAAAACAGCCTCTACCAGCAGGTGCTCCTGAGAGTTGTAGTCTTGGCAGCTTTGCATCCTTCTCAAGCTGAATTTCTCTAGTTCGTGATCACCGTGGTTAATCATAGTGCTGACTTAATCATGGTTAAGAGCAGCAGGAGGAATCTGTAGAATCCGAGGGGTGAGGAAATGAAGGAAGAGAAAGCACGTAGTCCTGTGGTCCTTCTCAGATGGTGGTTAAGGAATGAGCAGCATCATTCCATCTTAGCCAGTAGTGGATGGTAGGTTGCCTCCCAAGTCCGAGGTGTGGAATGATCCCACTTCTCTAACTGCCTTAGATATTAGCAGCTGCAGTTGTACAAAACTGGTCTTTATTTTCATGTCAGTTGTGGAATTAAACGTGCTTTCTGATGTCCTCTGAAGACTGATACTTTGGAAGCCAGAACAATTTATGCTAAAACATCCCCCCACCCTAGGAGAAAGGGGAGAGCTGCTTAAAGCCCAGAATGTGCCTCTTGGCTAGTTTGGTGTGTGTGTTCCAGCCAGATTGGATGTCCGTCATTTCTCTGCTACCTTTAATCTTTCTGGCACCTTCCCCAGTCTCTGGGCAGGCACTGGGTGCCACGGACTTTTTGTTAGTGTAAATGTGGCATGTCTCCTCCCTGGTGGCCAGAAAACTGCTTGGCCCCCTGAATCCAATGAGAGCTGAACCTGTCAAAAGGCAAAGGCTGTGCACACATTATAGACTTAAAAGCACAGCTAAGACAGGGTCGTCGTCCCCCCTTCTCAAAATGGATCAAAGCTAGTTTGTGGGGAAACACACCAAAGCACAGTATATCATCAGAAACAATAGGCTAGATCTGGATTGTAGCTAATGTTGTGTGTACACTGGTACGTTGGGTTACATACACTTCAGGTTACATACGCTTCAGGTTAGATTCCACTAACCTAGAAATAGTACCTCGGGTTAAGAACTTTGCTTCAGGGTGAGAACAGAAATCGTGCTCCGGCGGCGCGGCAGCAGCAGGAGGCCCTATTAGCCAAAGTGGTGCTTCAGCCCAAGAACACTTTCAGGTTAAGAACAGACCTCCAGAACTAATTAAGTACGTAACCAGAGGTACCACTGTACTCCTTTCCAAACCAGAAGTGGGAATGAACTGAATGTGTACACAAGCTTAGATATGGTCCCTGAGGGAGGAGATTACATCCTTTCCTTTCTGAACTGAGCTGATTGCTTTCACTCCCATAGGAAACTGTCCAGGGCAGCACTTGGGGATCACTGTGGCTCCCTGTCTCTGGCCAAAACAGGTAGAAGAGATAGGGGGAACTTTCCAGAATTCAAAGCAAGCCAAGGAAATGAACTGCCCAGTTACCAAGCTCTCTTCCTTCCTTCGGTGGGGAGTCAGAGCAGGGGTATCAAGAACCTTTGCCTTTGGCTCCCCCTTCTGTTCTCAGGCTCTCTCGGGGTCTGGCGTCCCCCTGGAAGCCACTCAGATGCCCCCCGCTCCTTGCCTTATGATGCCACCATTCACGTTCCTCTGATTGCCAATGACAGTAATTGTTCCTTTTGGAACATGTAGGAGGCAGCGAGGGCTCTTTCCACCCGAGGCTGTGCTATTTCCTGCAACGTTATAACATTCAGTGCAGCTCCTCTTCCCTCAGAAATAGACTTCATATGGCGCTTTTGAGTTGTGTTTTGACTTTTGGTGGGGCGGCACACTCAGCCGAGCAGGCGGGGCAGAAAGGGGAAGGAGTCATTACGACAAGTACGAGCATCTGTGATGATGATGCACAGCTGAGTCCCAAGGATTGATGTGGGTTCTGTCCCAGCGTGCCAGCATCACGCATTTTGCAAACATTACCTTTGAAAGATCAAACAAAATACAAAGGGTATGTTGGGTTTGGTTCATAGGTCAACCAGGGATGGGTCGCAGGCTTCTCCCTGCACTGCTGGCCTTGAGGCAGCTAGCCAGACACAGCTAGGAGCAGGATGCAAGGCCAGATTGACACACTTGGGTCTTCTCCAGAAAACCAATTATTCATGTCTTGATAAGATCAAGCACGTTGTGTGTGTGTGTTCCTTTTGAACTATGCATTCCTTCGCCACATACAGGATTCTCCTCTGCATCCTTCTGTTAGAGAAACAGAAGAGGATGATCGACAGAAAGGGCACAGCTCTTCATTTTAGCAACAGGACAAGAAACCACCTTGTCCTCTATTTGTGACAGGTACACGAAGGCCTGGCTTTAGGGTGTGTGGCTATCACGATCAATCACTCATTTTCACACATTCAAGCACACACTAAAAAAACTTGTGTGACGTTACTGTTGACAGATAGCTTAGTCAGGATGTTCAAAGGGAAAACTCGCAAGCTCAGGCTGGATGAAAACTGCTTCCCTCCCACCCCCTTCCATTTGCTTGTACAGTCATACCTTGGAAGTCAAATGGAATCTGTTCCGGAAGTCGGTTCGACTTCCAAAATGTTCAAAAACCAAACCGCGGCTTCTGATTGGCTGCAGGAAGCTCCTGCAGCCAATCAGAAGCCACGGAAGCCCGGGTTTCAAAAGAACATTCAAAAACCAGAACAATCACTTCTGGGTTTGTGGCGTTTGGGAGCTAAAATGTCCCGAGTTCCAGGACGTTTGGAATCCAAGGTACGACTGTAATTTCTTGATCCGATTCTAATTTCTCAGTTTAGCTTTTATATTTATTTGTTTTATAAGGGAAGGGTTCTGCAAGATGCACCTTCTGTTTGCTCATCTGGCAGGGGCACGGAAGTTGTTAGCAGCCAGGTAAATATTGGAGGACTCCTTGCTTTTGCACTGAGGCCTGCTAGCTGGCTGGCAGGCAGGCAAGTCCCTCCTCTCCTGATGCCTCCCAGAGGAAATTATTCTGAGAGGCTTAGGTGGGGGAGCAAGATGCTCAGGGGCATATTATGTGAACAAATGGTGCATGTGTCCATTAGGAGGCAGATTGGGATCTACTAGGAGGTGTCTGGAGTGCTCTGCATTAGGAGGCCTGCCTTCGGAAAAGGAATGCTAAGAAAAATGCAATGCACCCTTTTGTAAAAATGGGTTACAACAGCTTCCTAGCCAAGGTATGTGTGTGAGGGAAACCAGCTACTTTTGCCCACAGGAGGGAGTGGCAAAAATGCCTGGCTGCTTGCATGGCTTCTTCAGAGTTACAGCAAGGGCTTCAGGCTCATTGTGGGAACACGATAGGGTTTGTGTGGTCGTGAAGCTTGCTTGGGAGCTCTTGAAGACAAGCCTGCCTGCAGAGACTTTAGAATAATAGAATTGGACAGGACCATGGGGGTCATCTAGTCCAACCCCCTGCAATGCAGGAATCTTTTGTCCAATGTGGGTCTCGAACCTCGGATGACCTCAGCAAAGTGGTCTGAGTTTTTTAAAAGGGCCATTTTATTTAGAAAAAAAATAATATATAGGCTGCTTTGTCAGAAAACTCTGATAAGTGATGCTCATTATAAAAGATCTAGCAAAGGGGCATGGGATTTGTGCAGAAGGCTGACTCTTACATGCTTATGGTCACGCCAAGACATTTGGTATGCTCTGCTCATTAACACGTGGGAGAAAGTTCTCCTGAGCCAGCGCCATTGAGAAGAAGCCCAATAATGGGAAGAGCAGACTGGGAGGTGGACAGATCTCAGTGGAAAGGCAGGCCCTCTGAAATGAAAGAGAGCAATGTGAGATAGCATCAGTGTGTTTCAAGGGCTCTTGCTCAGGAGAACTGCCCAATTGTGGGAGGCAGATCTGAAGGAGCGCAAATCTCCCACCCTGTGCATCTTGAGGAAGAAGGGCCACTGGGCTCAATGGGGCCGCTTACTCTCCATCTGCCCCGCAGCCAGCATGAATACGTAGCCTTAATGGTGCCTCAAGTGAAGCCCACCTGTCACGGCTGACCTCCACCAACAGGAATCCTGAGCCTGGCTTCCTCAAGGGGGAAAGAAGTGGATAAACCCAGCATTAACTTTTGCAGCATATGCTCCAGGCTAGATTAATGCAGAGTGTGGCCACCGGTCTACAGGGCATATAAGAGGCCTTAATGCCAAATCCCCTCCCAGCTCATTTGTTGACTCGAGGGTGATCTGCGGTGCTGAGCTCCTTTCGGAAAGCTCCTTGAGGAAAGAAGGGAATCCTACATCTCCCCACTATTTTAATTGGGTGTACATTTAAATGGGCGATACTAAGTTGTTGCTTGTTTGTTTTCTGTAATAATAATAATAAGAAGAAGAATAAAATTTATTATTTATAACCCACCCATGTGGCTGAACTTGCCCTATATGTATTTTAAATTTTAAGTGCTTCAAGACTCTGATATATAAAAATATTAACAAAAACAAATAAACAGTTAAAACCATAATAGCATCCAAAAGCAACCGTCACAAAAAACGCCCTAAAGCATTTCCGAAGGGGTAGTTGTGCTGGTCTTGTGCAGCTAAAACAAAGAGGCAATGGGAGGTAGGGGGAAGAGAAATTTATTATCCAGTCGAAAGATGGCAAGACAAATGCCTTCTGAAATAAAGCTGCAATCCTATATGTGTTTATTTGGAAGTTTGCCTGAGAACTGAGAACCCCCGCTTTGAACCATCTTGTGCGGCAGGGATTATTCTGTGTTAAGCGGAGGAATAATCTGAATGCTAGCAAACCATTTTCCCAAGAGTGGGCGGAAGGAAGTTGTCATAATTTGTCCTGATATGCTAGAAGCAAAAGTGGTTAAGAGGTTTGATGGATTATTGAGCAGCATTAAAAATGGAGCAGGCTTAATGCTTTGGCGTGAGCAGCAGCAACACCCTCCATCTATGGGTCCCAAAGCCCTCCCCAAACACCAGTTAATTGCCTGGCAGCTCCTACAGGCCAGCCTCCCACACAGATGGACATCATAATAACAACTCGTTTTCATTTGAAGCCTGTTTATTTTAGTCAGGAAGCCTCTCTGGGTTTCTGGGAAAGGAGGGCCACATGGCTGGGGCTGAGCACATGAAAGACATCCCCGCTCTCTGCAGACAATGGAATAGCTCAAGGTAGACTGCCCAGGTGATGCCACGGGGAAGGGGGGGCCTCTGCTCCACCCTTTGCCTAGGTCTCAGGAGAGGAGAAGAGAAAGGTTCTGGGTTGAGACCATATAAATAAGCAGAGTCATCCCATCCTTTGGAATAAAGGTAAAGGGACCCCTGACCATTAGGTCCAGTCATGGCCGACTCTGGGGTTGCAGCGCTCATCTCGCTTTATTGGCCGAGGGAGCCGGCGTACAGCTTCCGGGTCATGTGGCCAGCATGACTAAGCCGCTTCTGGCGAACCAGAGCAGCGCACGGAAACACCGTTTACCTTCCCACTAGAGCGGTACCTATTTATATACTTGCACTTTGACGTGCTTTCGAACTGCTAGGTTGGCAGGA